AGTGTATGATGAGCGCAGCCAAGCGAGAAATTACTTCTGTTCTTTCTTTTTCTATCAATCGATCGATCGATATCACGTGTAGCGAAGTGTAACATATTTGGCTTATGTAAATATAATATGGCAAACCAAGGAGATACAGTGGGTCTGATTGAAAATTTTATTGTAGTTTGGGTGGATTCAAATCTTTGTAGCAATAACACAATCAATGATGATATTCAAATATCGATCAAAGCACTTCATAGCATTGTCAATTCGATCAAAATGTTTGATATATGTGAAAAATGCATCGATTTTATTTCCAATGATGTTCAAGAAGAAAAGATTTTTTTAATTGTTTCCGGTTCGTTGAGTGAACAATTGGTGCCACAAATTGAACATAATATTAAGCTTGACTCGATCTATATATTTTGTTTTAACAAATCAAAACATGAACAATGGTTCAATAAAGAACAGCATATCAAAATCAAGGGCGTCTTTACTAATATTCGACATATTTGTGATCAACTCAAAGTGGACATTAAACAGTGCGAACACGAGTTGACTAATGTTCAGATACTCAACCCAAAAACATCGACAATTTCGAATCATCTCGATGCATCGTTCATGTACTCACAATTACTCAAAGAAATTTTACTTAGCATCAAATATGACAGTACTGCTCTTGAACGAGCCAAACAAGAGCTGGTCGAGTTTTGTCGAATTCAATATATCAACAACAGTGAAGAATTGTCTATGATTGAAGAATTCAAGCAAAACTATACCAAATCGTCAGCCATTTGGTGGTATACACGTGAATGTTTTACTTATTCAATGCTGAATCGAGCATTGCATACACAAAATATAGAAGTTTTAATTAAGATGAGCTTCTTCATTCGTGATCTTCATCAACAACTTACACATCTTCATCAAACGAATCGGAATGATCAGATATTGACCGTCTACCGAGGTCAAGGGTAAGTAATGAAACCTTAGTCACGCTCAACAATTCATTTCTATTACAACAAAGACATATTCTAGTATCTTCTCATTGAGAAAATCGTTTTTTTAAAATGTGAAATTGTCAATGAAAATGCCTAAGAATGATCATAACTAGTGATAGATGACCAAGATCGATTTCGATTATTACTTGATATCTTTTCAGTAGTGACTAATCTAACATGTCTTAGTACTCGAGCAATTTATCAATGATTCAAATGAAGGTAACGTTAGAAATTTGTTAACGATGAATCGTGTTTTCTCAAAGCTCTTCCACATTGTTTTTTGATTATGTGAATATGAACGCTCACTGATCATGTTATTTATGTTCAGTGTCAATCGTTATTTCTTCAAAGTATGTTCTTTTTCTATTCAGTTTTCCTTGCATGTAGTCGAGACTAATAATTCGAAATGAATCATTTCTCGAAAAATAAAAATGAGCTCCTCTAACCATACTTGAACTAAGTTTGTTTTCATGAATTTTCATCTAATTACATAGAATGTCGTATGAAGCGTTCAATCTAATGCAAAACAATCAAGGTGGTCTCATATCGTTTAATAATTTCCTATCGACCAGTACCTCGAAAGAAGTTTCACTTTGTTTTGCGAAAAATGCTCTCAAGAAACCGGATAAAGTAGCGATCCTGTTTGAAATGGATATCGATCCGTCAATATCATCGGTACCATTTGCATCGATCAGTCAACTAAGCTATTTTCAAGAAAATGAAAAAGAAATTCTGTTCTCAATGCATACTGTCTTTCGTATCGGTGAAATGAAAACATTCGACGATGATTACCAGACACAATTTTGGCATGTTCATTTAACATTGACAAGCGCCAATGATGAGCAACTATGTCAATTGACCGAATACATGCGTATGGATCTCAGCTCATTTCTAACCTCTGAATATGAGGTCAACACTGATCCGACATGGCGATTGAGTAAATTACTTGTGCATATGGGCGAATATGATAAAGCACAAATTATATATGAGACGATACTTGACAAAGCCACACGTGAAAATAATTTGAAAGTCGCGCTAGCAACGCATAATCAACTAGTGGAACTGTTTGTGTTATATAAAAGTGATTGGAATCGAGCGAGAGCACACTTGAAACAGATATGTTGTATGGAAGCACTCGATGATTGTGATATTGTTGGTGATACGAAAAATGAATTGGTTAAGCTTAACTCATCGATTGAGGAACTACTAACTCTCGAACAGATTGACGAAGATGAATTCAATTCGATCATGGCCAAACTATTGAGCAAGATGATCACCTTGTATCTTGACTCCTCGACAAGATCGTTGAGTGCGCTTGATTATCAACTTCTAGTAGATTATTACAATTACTTTGGTGCGGTAAATCAGATGCAGCAAAATTTGTCCCAAGCATGGATTTATCATGAACGAGCATTGAAAATATTGCGCGAACACTTACCTTCCACTCATCCTCGCTTGGCTATTACATACAATCACATCAGTCAGCTTTATTCGAAAGTGGGTAATTATCCGGATGCACTCGACTGTCTCAAAAAAGCGCTTGAAATTCAAGAAAAAGCTTTGCAACCAAATCATCCACATCTAGCCGAAACGCATTCTCATATAGCCACTATTTTCAAGCATTTGAACAAGTTTAATGATGCTTTGGAACATGCTAAAAAAGCTGTCGACATCGGGCATCAAGTATTTTCGACAAGCGATGATCCGCAATTGAAAAAGTATCAAACACAATTGGACGACATTTTTCAACTCACCCAGTCTTGTGATGAGCTGGTCCTTTAAAGAACTCGATACATTTTCTTACGCTGCAATCACTTTTTGCATGTTTTTTTAGCAGTTGTGTCCAAGAACTGTGAAATAAGAGGTTCTATCTCAGTTCCTCAATTCCCAAACGCTCAAAACAATGCATCATAGCACTAGTCTGAGATTTAAAATAATCCAATTGCATAAGAATTTATGCTCGATTCCATGGTTTCTTGAAAACTGTCACAGTGGATGTGGGTGTGAGGATTCATGTTATATTTACCCACACCCAAATCGAATAGATGAGTTTAACTATAATTTGATTTTCTTTTTTTTTCATACGTCATTCTTGACAGTTATGAAGTATCTCGTAAGAGAAACAGAATAATAGAATTCACTTTACTCTTGTTTTCATGGTTTAATTATACCGGTAGCTTTTCACCCTCTTATGAGAGAAATCGAATAAGTTAGTTTTATTTAATTTTCTTTTCATCATTCACTTCTCTTGATAATTATCGAGCATCTTATGAGAAATGGAATAAAATAATTCACTTTACTTTTCTTTTTATTTGTTTCATCATCATGACAGTTTTTTGCAGCTTATGAGACGGATAGAATGAAATTTTTCGGTTTATTTTTTTTTTCTTTTTGCATTTACTTTTTTGTATTACTGCTCGTGAATAATGATTGAGTGCTATCGGGTGTTCGTTGTGTTTTCAAGCTTTTTCGGAATATAACTATCGGCTAGATAACTGTTTCGTCAGCCTGGTGAAGTTCATAAAAATAGAGACTTTTGTTCACCGCTTTAAAAGCCCTCCTGAACTTAGTTATCGCATTGACGGCTTTTCTACACATTGTCATAAACTCTTACACTGATTAGAGATCGTCATAAAGCCTTTCATATACAATTTCATAAATTTTTGGTATCCTTGATGATCCTGATGAATCCTTCCATATACCCTCTTATAAACTCTTCGTGCGATTGATAGTCAAGGGTGTTTTATACATTGCACTTTAGTAAACCCTTTAAAGATATATTATTCGACGGTTTTTTTTTACAGTGTAGAGTCATACGAAGTGAAACTGTTCCGGTAAATACTAACACATCACAGACTATCAATCGAATTAAATGAAAATATTGATTCATCATCATCATCAAAATAAATTCAACGTATCATTTTTGATGACGTTTTCAGTGGAGGAAAACACTCTGAAGATTAATAAATCGTGTTACAGCGTCAAAAACAGCTAGAAACTTGAATAAGGAAATATTTGTCAGCTGCTCAGGTTTTGAAAATTTTTGATGACCCAGGCCAAAATATCAGACGCCAGATCTTGTGAATCAGGCGAAATCTTATGAAAAACGTACGAAAAATCATGGTATCTGCAAAATTTACATCAATTCTTGACGTACAATTCTTGGAAGATCATATTATCTGTACGATCTTATATGAAAGCAGTTAGATCTCAAAGGAATCATATGCTAAGACTTTATGTAAGCTTTGCAGATGCTACGATTTTTCGTCTGATCTTGTAAGATCTTACCATATGATTGTTTAGTCTGAGAATTTGTTTTCAGTAAAGTCTATTTATTTTTTGAACACAAACAGCTATCGACCTCGGCCTGGCGTTGATCGATAGAGGAGAAGTTAGATTATATTTTCATTGAATTTCAGTTGAGAAAGCATATTGTTTTTAAAGTGAATTAGAGTCACCTTTAAAAATCATAACGTATCGAAGAAGAAAAGACACTGGATTTTTTCGTCGATTTTGTAAAAAGATACAGTAATGTCGACTAGAGATAGAGCCAAAAGCCCAAGCTGTTTCGCCCGCGTTATATTAAAATTATTCAACAAAATGCTCACATCCATTTAACTCTGAAATGAACAATAGTAATCTTGATAAACTCCTATAGATTCTATTATAAGTTAATAGGGTTTGGGATATTTAGTAAATTCAAATATAAATTGTAGATCCCACAAAAAAACTTTATAATAATATATAGAAATTTTGAATTCTTTTGTAATTCATTTGTGTCATGAACTCCAAACTATCGTAATAATGTATCGTGCAACTACTTGGTTCCTTTCAATATCTCTACTGAATTTTTTATTCGTTTGCTTTCTCTTTAATCCTGCTGATACGCTCTCCAGCTATGACAGAACTATTCTGATACACTCACCTGTCGCATACTGGCCTCTCTCTCCCAGTATTCCATACGACTATTCAGGTTACAATTTAAACGGAACGTTTACCAACAATCCTTCTGCTACAATAATGCCAAACAATGATACTGCGAGTGTGTTTAATGGAGTCAATCAATACTTCACTATAGACGATAATGATTATTTGGAAATTGTTCGAACTGGTATTCTCACTATAGAAGCATGGTTTCGACCTGATACACTACAGTTCGACTATGAGGAAGGAAGTGGTTATGTATGGTGGATGGGCAAAGGGGCCACAAACGCGCAAAGTTGGGCTGCGAGGATGTACAGTTATAATAACACAGAAGGACGTTTTAATCGTATTAGTGGTTATGCATTTAACTTATCCGGTGGCTTAGGTGCTGGGAGTTATTTTCAAGATAACGTTACCATCGGACAATGGATTTTCTACATTCTTACTATTAACACAGTTAACGTTAGTACCACTTATCCAACTGGTTATACGAAGATTTCCAAGAACGCGATCGAGCGCGATCAAGACTCGCTATTATGATACGGTATTATACCACAGAATGGTACAGCACCAATGCGCATTGGAACTCGACAACTACAATCGTTTTTCAAAGGAGCAATTGGAAAGGTTGCAGTCTTTGATTATGAATTGAACTCTAGTCAAGTACAAATTCATTTCAATTGTATGGTCATGAACACCAACTGTACTGGTGTTGAACCTTTGCTCAATACGACGTATGTTACAGGTGGATTTGAAAAAACAAGATCTGAGATATATGCAATCTGGCTTTGGACCATTGGCACATTATCTGCTAGAATTTTCAGCTGGTAGTCATGCGCGACCTGAATTGTGTCGCTATTAAAATATACTTTTATTTTCACTTACTGCAGTGTCACACACATTTGAGCTATTCCATGTAAACCACGACGAGAGCTGCTCAATCGAGGTCCTCCGATTTTGCTCAATTTGAGATAGGGTGTAGATGCAGGCATGGAGTGGGAATGTGTGGGTGTGGGTGTTAGTTGATGGGCCTATCTAGTCTGTATGCTGATCCATTCACACCCACACCCTTCAACGAATCTTAGAAAAAATACATAATCTTTGAATAGATTTCAATAATTGTTAAAATGCATCATTGATCAACAAGATAATAAACACAAATTTTAATTAACATTATTAATAAAAGAATGTATTTTATCGTTTATGAAATTTGTTTTTCATATTTTTTCATTAATGAGTCTTCCTTTTTCTTAATAACAAACATTTGCTTTTTGATCTCATCAATTTCACCAATTATTTTAATTCTTTCATAAATATTCGATAAATCTATTGAAGTATTGGCTAACGATGATGTTTCTTGTTTGTATTCTTTCTTGAAACTAACCAATTTATCACACAAAAAAGCATTAAGACATGTTGAATCATTTTGTGAACAAAGTTGCTTTTCTTCGACAATCATTCGTTCTAAGACAGATAAAATAGGATCTATCTGACTCGAGACATTGCCAATATTAGTATAAAATCGAGCGAACTCTGTAATTGCTATTTTAAGTTGCTTGACAGTTGACTCCATGTATGAGACTGTCACTGTATTTGTTGCATCCGAAAGTTCATATTGAAGATAATAATCAATTGCAATATGGTTTTCTTGAGCACAGTCACAGTTATTACAATGGTTCGAAACAATATGTAAATCATCTTGAAAAATCCAAAAGTCAACGTAACGCTTAGGAGTAGTAGGTTTACATGCATAGCAAATAAATGAACTTGGATTAACATCGATAGGACAGAGTTTTATCAGTCGACACGTTCGATTTCTCTCTAATAGAAAAAGATTTCGAAAAAGATTTCTTGTAGTTTCCAGCATAGGACGAATCATCTGATTGATTTTGAACTGTGCATGTTCCATTGATCTCCATTCATTCTGAGAATAAGATTTAAGTTCTTCGCCACAAAAATATTGAAGAAGACGATTTGATTCAGTGACTGAATTCGTCCAACTTTGTTGATATTCATTCTTTTGATATTCATCGAATTCGATTCCATTTTGTAGAGCGACTAGATAACGAAACGATTCACTATCAAAACAGAATGTGTTTGATTTTTTGAAAGGAATATCTTTGATTGGACATGATGAAATCATTTTTTTCAGTAGAGGAGCAGTATTACCAGGAGCAAAGAACGTTGCTCGACTATTTGTGAAACAAAATACAATATTGTGACAAGCATTTTCACCTAAAAAGTTTAATAAACGATCAAAGTATGAACGTAGAATGATATTCAATCTTGATTCATTGGGTTTGAGAAGAATACAAATAGCATTTAAATGTGAAAGATTACTGATAAATGAAATAATATGTTGCAAATTGAAATCATCTTGAGTAAGACCACGTGTATCTCCCATGCCAGGTGTGTCGATTATTCTTATTTTCGTTTCAGTATTATAAATAGAAAAAACATAGGACCTACAATGTTGAGTTACTGATTGTCCTGGATGGTAATGATCTTCATTGAAATCTTCGTCACCAAATCGAACAATCTTTTCTTCAAATTGATCACCGGTTGTCATAAAAAATGAGACAGGTATAACAACTAGAGGTGGACTAGAACGAGCCTTTTCAAAAGATTCAAATGTGATATAATTAACAAGTGCATTGATTAAAGTTGATTTTCCAACACCAGATTCACCTAGAAGAAGAACATTGATATAGTTATAGCTTCTCAAATATGTTGGATCACAAGAATCTTCTTTTGTTGCTGATATATTATCTGAGCATAATATGGATGAGTGGACTCGTGTTTCATCAAGTTTGAGAAGCTTAGCTGTTGAGGGTGTATCTTTTGTGGCTGATAGTTCTGGTAATTTTAAGTGATTAAGAAGTTCTTGGGTGTCTGTTAACTTCTTCTCTTTTTGTGGATCTGTTTCTGGAGTTTTGAGTGCACGAAGCATTGATAATATAGGCTGTTTAACTGAATAGTTTGATTGATGGTTTAATGGCGTTATCACTTCTGTATTCGATGACTGTTGTAAGTTTGATAAAGAATATATGTTTTCGGTTCTTGGAGATAATTTCTTCGGTTGGAATGAATTGTTCTGAATTGGAAATATTGATAAATTAGATACGTCACTATTATCTTTTATATTTTCTGTTTGTTTAGATGATGATGATTTTAGTTGATAAGTCGAATTTTGAAATTGTTCTTTCGTTTGTGTAATAGATTCTCGTTGTAAGTTTGTCGAAAAATTTAATGAATTACTGAAAGATTGTGCCGATGAATGTATCTCTTCTGTAAGCAATGTGTTATTTTTTGTTTGTGGATTCGATTGATTCAACAATTGATCGATGGTTTCTGGTAGTTCATTTGATGATGATGATACAACTTCTACAATAGATGATGTAGGTGGTATGAATAACTCAATCGTATCTCCAACATGAACTGATGGCTTGGATGACAAAGTTATCTCTTCTAGAGAATGTGTTTGCCAATTTGAGAGACTAATATTGTTGCAATGTGATTTGTTACTGCTAGTTGTAGTCTCTACGTGAGGATTGCTGATAATAGAATTTATCGTGTTTGGTTCATTATTAAGGCGTAAATTTACTTTCTGATTATCGTTTTCCACGAACCTTTTAAAATCTATTGTTAAATAGTTCGTTTTATTATTCGAACATTCGCAAGAATTCAAATTCTTTATATACTGTTGATTGGAATCATTGGTTAGTTGCTTTCTTTCAGTGGAAGCCATTATACATTCTAATTTTGTGTCAACATGTTCTTGTAGTATTTGATTTCTCGCATTACTGAATAATTCATCTATTTTATTTTGTCGGAATGTTCCATTGCGAATCCTTAAAATTAAATCATTAATTCGTTGAATTTCACCTGGGTATATTTCTTCGATTTCTTTAATTTGTCGTAGAAGTTGACGAAATTGTTGATTAATATATTTATTCGATAGTTTTTCTATGTTTGAATTGAGTGGTATATTTAATTGTTGATTGTTAGTTGATAATTGAATTAAGTATTGTTTAATACATTCTATGGTTTTTGGTTCAAGTTGAATATAAGTAGCTCCTTCTTGTGGAAAATTAAAATGATAGAATTTAATGGGAGTTAGCGTATATTCCAATGGAGGATGAAGGTTTATATGCGTTTTTATTTTGATTAATGCTTGACAAAAATCAACGAAGGTTTTCATTTCTATTCGATCAGATATATTGGAAAATATTTTTGTTGAGACGACTTTATTGAGTAAAATTTCTTCAGTTTTGGTTAATTCAAATTTATTTTTAATTAATTGTGATTGAATTTGTTTCAATAACTTGTCAAAATTAGTTAATTCATTATCGTTCAGTTCTAGTACGACAAAAGCTTGGATACCATATTTTATTACTGTAACAATATGAGTTGCAGTACTTTCAAGTGTTTTCGAAATATCTGTCTTTACTTTATTTTCGTGATTAATTATTGATCTTTCTTGACTTGTATAATTGTAATAAAGATATCGAATATTTGTACTCGTAGGGAAGCAATAATTTACCAATGAAGTTATTCCTTGCATGGGTATTATTTTCAAAATGAAGTTTAGCCACATTTCTTTATCGATTCCAATACTGCAAAATAAATCCTCAATATAGAGTCTATCGCCATTCAATATATGACACTTAACAGGTTTGAATAACGGTCTTCTTTCTTCTGAAGCTTCGCGAATTGATAATGTGTTAAGTATACGTTCAGTTCTCGCATCATAAAGAGAGCCAAGAACACCAGATTGATCAATAGCTATACGATGTAGGTAAGGCTCATTTGTCATGACTTGGGTTAGTTTTAACACGTGTTAGAATAGTTTCTGTTCTTAAAGAAATGTTTTATGATGTTGTGTGAAAATCAATGATTCTGAAAAAAACTTTAAAAAAATAATTTTTATTTACAAAAAATGCCGGATATTGAACATAACGACTTTAACTACTTAACTGTAATGAATTTTCGCTTCTTCATTCTTAACTAAAAGTTATGATAGATTTTTTTTCATTTGGTTGGTTGTAAAAATGTAGAAAATTGTTGTAGAAAAGAGAATTAGGGAGGACGATACTTTATTGTATGGAATAATACTAACATTTTCATAGGGATCGAACATACATAAGTCAATAGATACTAAAGAGAAAAAAATTGGTGTTATTATTTTTTTTCGTCTAGCAACTGTAAATGATAAACCATCTAAGTATTTCATAGTATTTATACCACCGTGATAATATCGTGCGGCACGATTATCGATACAATGTTGAATCGAAATTGTTTTTGCTTGTTTCAGTCTTGCTTCTAGCATAGCATTGCATTAAACTAAATATGCATATGTTAATTATTCGAATTTGTATGAGCTCTCGTTGAACATCCGTTAAGTTTATATTTCAATTATTATTAGTAGTTGTTGTTTTATTCAATATGACAAAAAACATTCATCTGCTATGAGTAAAAGATTTTGTTTTTGTCAATAATAAATTAAATAAATGACAATTTTGTTTGAGTTACATTTGTTGAATTTTCTATAATATCTGATATTATTAGGTTCACAACTGTCTTCTTTCATGTTAATAGAGATTAATACATGAAATCTAATAAAATAACATGATATATTCAGTATTACTCGATTACTCAGACTTTACATGACAATCCAATCAGACATCCATCGCATCTGGGAACAGCCCAGTAATCCCAGATAGGATTATTCCTGATGCCAGAAAAATTCGAACCCGGAAAGTTCGGGGCTCGGTGCATGTCTGAATCCAATCTTCATTTTATTTTTAATTCCTACATATCGTCTCTTCATGTGTTAGAAAGATAAAACTTTGATTCCTGTACTTTGTCACTTCGGATTAATTTATAATTTTAGACATTGAAAAGTTATTGATTAAGTTTATGAAATTGAATCTCGAAATGTTTCAATATTATTTTTATTCGCTCATGTCATTATCTCTGATATTAAGATATAAACATCAACTAGTATTCTCGCTTTTCCCCAAACAACGTACCATTATTGATTGACTTAAGGACGAAAATTTAACTAAACAGTATCAAAGATTTTAATTAAACATTCAAAGTTTAAAAACTATACATGCACTTTTTTGATACACTATATAAAATGAATGCAGAAATATAGCAGGTAGAAATTTGCACCCATCCTCTTAATCGACTGTGATAGATACCACCAGGGGATGTTATTTTTGATATATGGTAAAAAAAAGCGTACATAAATAGTACCGTATGATAATTTACGAACTACCTACTCAATCCAGTGCTGAAAAAATAATTAAAAGGATGGTTAAGAGATATACCGCAAAATGGATAGATTTAAAGAAGCTTTCTGCAAATAACAAGAGTAATTACATCGTGTTTCATATTTTAATCAATCAGAGATTGCGGTAATATCTTTCTGTGTATATCTATCATCTCAATGTTTAAAAATTTGTGAACAGACTTACTTGTAAAATATATAATCTTTGCAGATAATTTTGATTGAAAAATATGCAATAATATTCTAGTTTATATTAAACGTTTTATTTGTCTTTGTAAATACATTATACAGCCGCTGTTGTGACTACTCTTCTTTTATTTTTTTTTATAAATCTTCAACTTCAACCAAAAGCATCAATGAAGATATAAGCAGAAAGGAAGAAAAAAAAATACTGTGTGTATGTGTATGTTGCTATAGAATTTCATAAAGCATTGCAACATGCATCCTACTTAAGTAAATATGTAAAGGAAAGAAAATAAAAGCAACATGAGTTAGAAGAATATTTTAAAAAATCTTTGCAGGCATTGATTAATAGAAAAGTATCCTTAGAAAACCAAATAATTCAGCCTCTCATGACTTTAGTCTTATGAAGAAAAACATAGTCAGGAGTCAGTTTTCTTTTTCTCTGGTGTTTAGTTTATCTTGTAGACCTCATTGAATAATGCTGATTACCCAGAAAGTTCGTGCTTGTAATCTATTTCTAGTAAGCTATCGCGGTGTAAAAGTATATTTTTGATTTTACAATTGAAATTCAAACTGTATTTGAATTAGATTAATTTTCATGAGAAATTTTCAAGATAAAGATCCTTTTCATCAATAGTGAACAAAGTATGTCTGACTTAAAAACTTTTTTGCTCGATGAGACACTGTCTAAACATTGTAAAAAGAAGTTGGTCTACTTGAGACCTTTATATAGGTTGAGTTTCAATTCAAAAATTGGAATAGGGAAGCCAATATTTATCATCAATTCGGCATCTTACCAGAAAGAGATCATTAGCACGAACTTTTGGGATAGTTGCCATTGTTCACTAAGATGCACACAGAATACATGATATTATGATTGAAAAATGACCCACGTCTATAAATATTCCTTCATTAGTCAACCATTGAGAGAATATGTAATACGTCCAATATCAAACAGATTTTGGATTTGTTAAACAATTTTCGCTGTTTTGGAAACGAAGTTAGATTTATCTGAAAAGAAAAGTAGAAGTAGTTTCTTGTTTTACTATAATGTTTTTATCGGCTATGACAAGTAAAGAATAAATAATTGACCTGATATTTTATTCCACAGAATAAGTTTTAAGGATAAGCCATAATGTCTTGACGCTTCACTATTTTACTACTGCTGTATTTCTTAAAATTAATGAATAACTTTAAGGAAGTATTGTAATACTTTATGCTATTCCTCATATCTTTGCATGTAATAACAATTTAATGATTGCTGTGTGATTATAACTACATTTTTCAAGGAGAGATACTTACAAAAAGGCTGGGAACTTTAATCACTAGATGAGTCATGAAGATTTTCATGAAATCTAGAATGAACATGAACAAAGCGAATAAGTAATAGAAAATGAAAATCCAAAATTTTTTTCGCCTAATCTTTCAATAAAAAGTGCGAAATGTTTGAATAGACTTCAGCCATTATTAAAATTCAGTATTGACCAATACGAACATACATACAACTTTCCATTACATTGTCTAAGAAAAACTTTATTGTATTGTTAATGAAAATTGTGTCTCGTGTCTTTTCATAAATGATACTTGCTTTTTTTTAATAAAGGGATTTTTGCCTTCCAATCTCACCAAATCTACTAATCATTTCAATCCATTCATAAGTATTCAATAAATCTATGGATAAATGATTTAATATTGATATATTCTGCGCTTTTTTTTGTATTTGTTTTGGAAGTCAATCAGTAGATCATACAAAAACGCATTAAGATATGTAGGATCATGTTGCGAACAGAGTTGCTTTTCTTCAGCAATGATTCGTTTCAAGGCAGAAAAAATTGGATCTGCGTAGGGTGTGGGTGTGGGTTGGGCATGGGTGTATGTGTGAGTGCAGATGTCGGCGTCTGAACAGATTGCTCATAATCACACACGCGCACCGACCACTCACAGCTTTCTTAAGAAGTGTTCTCCCGGTCCACGACAGCCTTCACACTCATATCCTCAATATATTAAATCCAGTTGTTACATTTTCACATACCTATTACAACTTATTCTCAACTGCCGTGTCTGAGCATGGAAAGATGGTCATATTCAACTTCAGCACATTTTTTCTATAGCAATTCTGATACTTTTAAGATCGATTCCATTTTATTATGAGTCTAACTTAGATAATTAATACACAAACAAAAGTTTGAAACGTGATAATTAAAATGGCTTATTCTTATTTTAATGAGCTCTTTTTATTGTTAAAACACAGATTATGACGCATGATATAGCACATAGCAATTACGACACATGTAATATCATTTATCGTGGCCAGATTCGCATTGATAAGCCGTATTTAGGTCTAAAATACATAATCGACTTATCTATTAATCTTCGTATTGATAGAAACATGTACAGACCTGATTGTGCCTGCTGCTCCTAGAACAAGTTTTTGACCGGGTACCAATTCAAAACGAAAACGATGTAGCATCATCGCCAATATAATCTTAGCTTCTAACATAGCAAAATTCTGTCCAATACATGCTCGCGGTCCAAGTCCAAATGGAAACATTAGGGCCGAGTGATGTTCCAGAAATCTTGACGGATTGAATTTATTTGGTTCATGCCAATATTTTTCTGAACTACATCAAGAAAAATTTTGAACAAATATGTATCGATATATATTCAAAGAAAAAATAGTTTGAGTAAGATTTTTTTTCTAAATTACCTATTCATAATATTCAAATTTATAACAATATCAGTTCCTTTTCTGACAAGAATTTGTTTACCATCACTAGCCTCAATGGTATTGTCATCAATTGCTGTTCTAAACAATACAGGTGCAGGCTGATGATATCGTAAAGTCTCTTTCAGTACGGCTTCCGTATATGTTAGCAGTGATATTGTCGCCGCTGTCAGTTCTTTATTCTCATTCAAAACTGAGTCGACTTCATTTTGACATTGTTGATATACATCAGGATTTGTGACAAGATTGTAGAGTATCCAAGTCATCAGAGTTGCCGTTGTCTCATGTCCGGCAAGTACTAGAAGTAAATGAAACACGCATTATGCTTGTATTAAAAATACAATAATTATCTCTTATTCATATTAATTATTCTTTGTTTGAAAGATGCAATATTGTATCAAGCTATATGTACGATGTATTATGGCAGATAAGTAATATTCGTCGGCAAGTGACTCACACGTTTCGTAACTGAAAGAGGATGCTTTGAAATATAAGTCGTGCATGGAAATTCAAAGATATCTATGAGGATAAAACAAAATGGTTTTTGCAATTTCGAGATTTCAAATCGACCTGACACTATGAGCCACAATGATTTGTAATCAGCAAGTATAAAAAAATCCATAACTACTTATTTCTTAATTTACCATTCTGGGTATAGGCCTTTCATTTTGGAGAATATACATTTTATCTCGGACAATATTAATGTCTATATGTTTGAATAAATATGAAAAATCATCCATCTCCGTTTCACAAGAATCATGTCCTTGTGTATCTATTATCTAATAGTAACGTTTTCTATGAGCTGAATTTTTTTTCACAAAAGAATGATGGGTTAGACTGTTGATTTTCAAAAACAAAAGTACAATAGTTCTCTGGCTAACAAAGATAAATGTGTTGATAGATTTTTCACGATGGCAAAAAGCAGGCCGTAGGAACAATGAAACTGACTGAACTCACACGAGACTCGTCTATTTTTATCTCATAATGTTGACCATAAAGAACTCTGTTGCTTTTCATCTTCAAATAGTAGCATTTATATAGACAATCTACATATTCATTTTTCAATATGTTAATACAATCGAGTGTGATTTAAAAAAAACAAATGTCTTGTTTGAATCTTTCTCATAAATAATCAAATTTTTTACCACACAGCTCCCAATCAACTCTCACTAACTGACTTCAGCGAGAGTTTCAACTTCCCAGCTAATGTTTTGGAATTTTGGCACAGGAATCTCCGATCGATGAATCATCTTCATCAATAGTATGGTTTCACAGGAGTTTGCCAAAAAGAGTTCTATAGAAAAACATATCAATAATTATAGTCCATATTTCAATTTCCTGAAAAAAATTAAAACCTTTGATCAGTTATCAAAGATTTTAAGAATTGAGTTCATTGTCGATCATACTTCATGATCCTTTCGATTTATGCTTATATATGTATATGCCTATGTCTGCAATGCATCTTTCCTTTTGAATATTCGTATTTTTCTATACGTTGAAAGAAAAGTGACAGCCACAATTATATATATTTCTGGATAGCCAAGTAAATGTCAGATTCACCAGGTTTATCATCATGTCCTCAGTTGTAACGATGTACTAAAATGTATTTATATATATCAAATATGAGACAAGGAACGAAACAAATAAAGTATATTTTCGAAAAAATAAGGACACATTTGTTGTTCACTAGAAAAAAAAGAATTGAATATATACTACTCGTGCTTACCAAACGTAATTGCTTCATCAGAGACTTCTTCATCGGTAAATTTTTGTTCTTCATCGTCACTATGTGCTCCCAAGAGTTGATCAAGTAAATCGGGTCCTTATCAACGTTAATGAAAATGAGTCAAGATTAAAAAAAAAAGGAACAATAATACACCTTTACAAGTTGCTCTTGATAAACCGTATTTTCGCAGATTTATCATTTGCAGAACAATTTTTTTCATATCTTGTCTGCACTGATCAATACGTCTTTTCCCAAATAATGGTAATTGATTAAGAATTGGAATAATAATAATCATATTGTAGATTCGTTTTTCTATTTCATTTGCCGCTACTCTGATACTTTGATAGATTGTTTCATGAGTATATATATCTTGCATTGCTTCGATACCAAATACACAACCAGTTATAATATCCAATGTTAGATTTGACATCTCTTTCGATATGTCCAATATCAATGGATAAGCTTTATCAATTGTGTTGATTTGCCATTTTGTCAAAAAACTTGATGTAATATCAACTATGAGTGATATCATTGAATTGATATTTTGATGTTGAAAAATTGGATTAATTAATCGTCGATGTCGTGTATGATTTTCGTCTTCGGCCAATACAATATTTTCATAGCCCAATACGGTTGAAGCAATGGCTCTTGAAAGTTCAGATTTATGATAGAATCGACTATTTATTTTTAAAATACTTTCTATCAGTGCCGGATCACTTATATTCAAACAAGGAAATGGACCGAATGATGTATGATAGTAATCACCAAATTCAGCAGTTGTCTCTTTAACATAGCTGAATGGTTCATCGGCGAGATAGGCTCGGCGTTGACGTAATATATCACCAACTATTGGTATATATCGTCCAGGAATACCTTGATTCGAATAATCTCGTTGAACTCTCCATGGATTAATGATCCAGAATTTGATGAGACGATAAATAATATATAAAAATAATGTGTAAAGAATAATTACCAACCACATTGCCGTTAGTCAAGCATACAACACAATGTTAAAAAGACGTCCACGTTTCTCTTTACCGTCAACTAAAAAAAAGAAGGAATGAGTCTGCAGATATGATCTTGGAGAGTACATATCAGTATTTAAGGAAGATATTTTTTACTCGATTCTATGACACTGTCAACACGAGTACTGCAGGACTCGAACACGTGATATGATAGTGTTACTTTAAAAGGCCTTCTCATCAGAAACATTATTGTTGCAAAAAAAATCAAGCTTGAGTTGTTATCTATCGACAGTGGGGATGTGAGTTTGAGTAAAAAAGAAGATCGGCTACCTTTCGGTATAGGGCACTGTTGAAAAAGTGTTTTGAAAGCCCGATCATTTTTCCTACAACTAGTACTAGCTGTGGCTCTAGACAAAAGACAGATCTGATTCAGAGTTCTTCCGCTGAATCTTTTAAGCTTTCCGTACATCCTGACTGACCACATACTACTAGCTGCAAAGATTTTTTTTGCGTATGTCAACCACGTAGTCGGTAAGGTATCTGACGCGTGATTCGAGACTAAGAGCCGTTAGTAACTTGTCCAAGGACATGTTATATATGATGATGTCGAGGTTCGAACACAATATCTGGTGAAGATGTGTCAAACATCTTAATTACTTAGTGAAAACAGCTGGGTTGGGATGTGGCTCTCCCTTTACACAGCACACCTATGTCAGCCTCTAAACTAAACGCACCAACGTGAAGACTATTCTTGACATCCACAACAGCAAAACATCGCATATAATCAAGACAACTGCCCAATATGAAACACGATACTACATTGCATCAGACAATTGTGGACTGTTCTTTTGAAGTATATCTTGTAGAATATTGAATTTTATTTTCATCAATAAAAAAAAGATCATATTCTATGAAGAGTTAAAAGACGAATCTTTTAACAAAAAAAAATTTAAGTCTGAACAGATGAATATTAGGACAGATTGCATTAAAATGCAGAGAGAACTGTTCTTTCTAGATCATCCATTAGCATTTCAAAATCCTTCATCGTTGGGCAAATACTTCACCATTGGTGCATATCCAAATGCTTGTTCCAATATTTGGTTTATTATTTGGAGCTCATATTGTGGGATTTTTTTTGCCATTGCTCAAAACTTGCCCATGCGATGATATGATACACTTCCGTAGCATTTTGTATGGATTGGTGTGTAGTTAACAGGTCTTGTTTGCCAAGAAAACCGTCTTGTATACGAAGAACCAATGTTCAGATTTGTTCATCTAATATTAAATAGCGTTGCATATCGCTCGATCGGACAGTCACGACTAATACTTCAATGACTGAACCTTTTTTATCAACTGCAAGTAGCTTAAATATCACTATTACATTAAGAAACAACCACGTGCCTATAAGACAAATCAACTGAATTCTGAAATATAATGAATGGTTTGAGCAAGAATTTCCATAAAAAGTTTCAAGAAATGTTTTCGATAGTTTTTTTAACATCTAATACTAGTAGTCGACATTTTTCAATAGGAACTGAAATATGAAACTTTCCAGATAATCATTACGTGAATAGTTCACTATTTCACAACTCTAACAAGCTTTTTATATGAGAAGATCTCTTATGGACATTAAACTTCGTTACCTATTATCTAACTCACCTGAAATTCATGCGTTGCGTGAGCATGAGAGATAAAAACGAAAAACATAACAGAATCATTTCTGTTATCTTACTTTGGTCTTGTGTAACGATAAATACTAGTTATACTACACGTTTAACAAATGTAAGCAGGAGCAATTGTTGATCCGCTTAATCAGTGTTACGCAGTAAACTGAAGATAGTGTGGGTGTGGGTGTGGGTGCGGGTGGTTCCCTTTCATACTCACATCCACACCCACACCTTGTTTTATATTTCCATAATGTTTATCGTCACGATACTTTTGTTGAGTTTACACGCGAAGAGAATCAACAATATTTAACCTCGTGCAACAAAAATAATTAGTGTAACATGTGAGCAGTGCAAACAAAATTGAATTTCATTGTTTAACCATTCTTCTAGTGCAGATGCGAGTATGAGACGGTAGAAAGGTCTCACCTATTCACACTCTAAGTATTGACACAACTTTTAGTAGGATACCTGGCCAAGTTCCTGTAACATACTGGTGACAGAGTACTTTTTTAGTGTTCTTCTGAAAATCGCCTTACTATTGCTGGTCACAGAAACTCTTATAGAAAATTAAAATAGGTCAAAGACCGAAATCAAACTTTAATCAGCAAAGATTTTGCATCCTGCGCATTTTTGGAGCATACTTTAAGCAGAAAGTCAATCTTGTTTTGTGTTGCAACAATACATGAGCTATCGATACGAAGATATGTGGCATTTGGGCAAGGGGAATGGTGATTTCTTGTAGAAGAATTTAAAGGTGACAAACGTAATGGCAACTGCATTGATTATGTGCATGATGGAGGTAAATGTTTTCACATAGTAGCTTATTCGCCAATTCACACCCAGTTTTTGTAATGGCAAGTTCAATAATAATGAATCAATGTTAGAAAATGTAAATTAATATCTCTGAAGGGTAGAAATCAGGACAGCGATATGTCAATTCATCTTCGAAAACGGTACAAACACGAAGATCATTCTATTCAGTTTTGAGTATCAACGAAAAATCAAAGGTTCAGCTATCTTCTTTCAATGAAATAAATAAATTATACTAGCCGAAAGAGAAGCAGAATCAAAACTTAGCCGCTCAGATATGATAACAACTAGAGGGAGAAAGTTAGAAGCTATCAATCCATAGATAATATATTTATTGAATTTAAAAGGCACAAAAAGAAAATCAGCAGCACTCAGGTTGAAAAATACGGTATGTTTACATTTTATTGCGGACCGTAAACAGCCGTATTCAGCGAACTTACAATGAACTTACGGGTAGCTGCACCGATGGACTTGGCAAAGTCATCGATGCAATTAATAACATCTCAAGATAAATACTGAAATATCATAATAAGCCTAGAACAACATAGTTAATAATAATAATAAAAGCTGTAAACAAATACAAAGTCTTATGACAATATGTATATAAATCTAAGGGTTCGGTATATTGGACAATTGTGTCACACTAAGTATCCAAAAGTTACCAAGAATAATTCACGTCAACATAAATAATTGAATTGGAATCAAACAACAAAGACAATATTGTTCACTTTGTAGTGTGTCTCTATTCATCGTTGTTTTGAAAAATGTTAAAATATTATTAACAATACCTACAGTACCAGCAACAATAAAATATTGTGGAAGTTGAGAATTTACTGGACATTGATTTTAATATTTGGAGCCAATGCATATCATCGTAATAGGAATTGTTAGGAGAATGGCTAATACAGCAATTAGAACATCAATAGCGGCTATTGTCTAAGCGAATTTGTTATAAGAATGCCGAGAGCTAATATTAGATGATTCATTAATTGTCTATCGAGTTCTTTGCTATTTTTCTGGAATTAAAATTCTTTGAGCAATGGCGTAGGTTGCAGCGCATTGAATTCAACATCTGCAGCATCGCAAGTATTGTGTATAGTCTCATTAGATGTTGGAGAAGAGTCTACTAGTGGTTGTTCTTCACTCAACTTTTCAACATTCAGCAATGTCGCCATGAAAAACAAAGCAGTAATGGACCAGTTATATTTGAAATAAGATGGGGTGTGAGTGTGGCTTTAATTGTTTTTTTTACTCATACCCATGCATCCACACCCACATTCATCTGCACAGACGAATCAGAAAATCGGGATATTTGTATTTCCAATGGTATCAATAATTGGATAAGAATTTTTGAAATGAGAAGTTAGTACTCTTCTGAATCATTGATATGTATTCTAAGAGTTAAAGGTATAAATGAAGCTTTTTTAAAACGAATCAGGATGTTCTGCTAATTATCAAAAGATTTTCTAGGAAAATGTCTCTGCATTTTGGTGTTTCGAATAGCCCACATATATAAGATTGTTAGAAAAAAAAATTTAAGGTTGTTTTTTAATTTACTTTAAACTATTTAGTTTCAAGGATCGAGAATGACGATCAGACTGGTAATTATTCAATTCATTGATTTTAATTGAGTTATAAAAATAATTTTAATTGAAATCTTTGTATTCTGGGTAGAATATGATTAACAAATTAGAAAATAAACGTTGACTATTGAAGATTGCAATCGTTTATAATTTAATTTAATTACAGTTTTCCTAACGTGTATGCATTTTGATCGTTCATGAAGTAAGGTTTTGAAGAGTAAATGGTTCATTTACTAACATGTATTGTTCTAACCAGAAGGAATAAAATGAATGAATGCGTTTTTAAGCAAATAGGAAGATCAAGATTTTGTCATCGTCAAAGAACAAAGAATGAAAAATTTGTATTTGTTCTTTTCTTTTATATATACACGCAGACTTCGTATTTTTTATTGTTGATTATACTAAAGCAAATATTGCATGACGCACACTATCTTACTTAATGCTTTTCGTTTGAAACCGAAATAAATAAAAAGTAAATAGAAGGATACCGTGATCAATGTCCCAGCTATCATTTGATTGTTTTGCTTTAAATATTCATTATAAAAAAGCCTATAGAAACCACATGATTCTTGCTTCTTTTTACATACTAGTTCAAGTTATCTGAAGGATCAAACACTATCTCATGAACGACGTTATAGTGTGATCATTTATATTTAGTATTTTCCTTTTTTTCTTTTCTTTCTTCTGTTGTGCTATCGCGCATACAAGGTGTTCCATAAACAGCACTACGATAAAATATTTAAATATCTCCACTACAGTTCAATAAAATGGGCTTATTTTTGGTTAGTGATAGAACTTTATTTCATTTCTTTTTATACGAATAATGCAAGCAAATAGTTCTTTTAAGTATGACTGTTAACCTCATGAAAAAAAGCTGTATCTATTATTAAGTGAAAATACACATGCGAAGCATTCGATAGATGAGTTTTAGTTGTCACGTAAGAGAGCATCAAGAAG